TGAGACAGGGGTCTCTATAGTTCAGGCTGGTCTTGAACTCACTATGTAGCCCAGGCTGGCCTCTAACTCACAGCAATCCTCCTGCCTCAGCCTCCTGAGTGCTGGGATTATGGTGTGTGCCACCACATCCAGCTGGATCAAACTTTATTGTGTTTTGGGGCCACTTGTCCTGTACACAGTAAGCACTGGAGACTGATGAAAGCATGCCTCAGGAGAGTCAGAGAGAGGACAGGCCGCGCAACTGCTCAGAGCACCCTCTCCATACATGGGGCTGTTTCGTCAGCCCCGCTTCCCACCCAGTGCTGGCTTCTGCTCCTTCCCACCTGTCTACCGCATGGCATCAGTGCCTGGAAGGAGATGGCTCCCAAGGACCCATGGGGGACAGGGGTGCACCAAGGGTTCATGATCATAAACTCTTGGTCTCCAGCATGGGCAGATTGAGGGAGGCTCCAGGGGACAATGACAGGGCCTCGTCCTAAGGGTCAGCAGGAGGCAGGAGGCAAGAGGAACTGCAGCCATCACAGAGAACTGTCTCAGGCTAAACCAGAGCTGTCAGCTGCAGCACTCTGGACTGGAGAACACAGTGCTGAGAAGCCCAGACAGATCAGCAAGTCCATACAGCACCTGTTTACAGCAGACTCCCCTCCTACAAGGAAGCTCCCACCACCACCAGGCCTCGACTCGGGCGCTCCAGCCCTCAGCCTGGCAGGGAGGTGAGGCCCATGGACACCTGGGGACACCGAGACCTCAGAATATCACCGCCAACAGTCCAAGACAGAGCCCCTACCAAGCCCAGCAGTCCTACCCCGAAATAAAATACTAGAATCGATCCTGTGCACACAGGTGAACTGCGAGTTAAAAGCTACAGGCTTTGTCGCATGCAGTCCTCCCAACCACCTACTTGCGGACTAGTGCTGTTGTTACCCTAAGCTTGCTGATGGCCTGATGAACCTCATGCATGGCTTGCCCAAGGCACAGAGCTAGCAGTTAGCAAGGCAGGAGTTGTGCCTGGCAGCTTGCCTGTGGTGCCTGCTCCTGTAACCCCAGACAGAGGGCTGTGTGTCACAAGCTCTCATTTCCACAGCAGTTTGTCCCCAGAACTCCTGGCTGCATCAGCGCAGCACCCAAAGCTTGACCCCAGCCTCCCTGTATCCCTAGGGCACCCAAGCCCAGGCCAAAGGCAGCTGCGACCCACTCCTGGGGTCTTCCCACCCCCTACCCTCCCTCTACTCCCAGGGATGTCCCCAGCCTGTACCAGAGAGGGCCAGCATGGACGGAAACTCCCAGCAGTTGGAGACACCCAGGGAGTCGGTGGCACAGCTATACCAGAGGTTCTCGTAGACGGTGTTGGTGGTGATGACATTCCCGTGAATGGTGGACACTCTCCAGTAGCTGTTCGGCAGGGTCACCCCCAGCATCAGTAGCCCCAGGGCTGCCACAAAGAAGCCAAAGGTCTCCACAGCTATCGACATCCTGAGATGCAAGCCTCAAGGGCCTGAGGCCCCAGACAGGGGCAGGGTAGAGCTGAGGGATCCCCTGGGGAACCTGAAGTGCCTCTGGCCAGGGACGAGTGCTGAGGCGGGGAGGGAAGAAGGGAAGGGCTCAAGTCCATCCGCCTCTGTCTGCCTCCTCCTCCGGCTCCAGTCCTGCTCAAGTCCGGCTCCAGGTTTCAGTCTCCCTCCTTCCTGGGTCACTGTGCTTCCCAGCAGGTCAGAGGCATTTGGCAGCTGTTGACAGGAGATGGAGAATAAACGGGCCAAAAGTCCACCCCCTCCCCCAGCCTCTGGCTCTGGGCTCCCCGCCCCATGAGGGTGGGGGAGCAGACTTACCCAGGAGGGCCCCCATGGGAGGCACTGTGCTCCAAGGGGAAGCGGCTGTCTCTGACTCAGCTTTCATGGGGGCCGGAGAATGGAGTAAGACAAGGAAGGAAAAGGTGAGCAAGACACGAGGGGGATAGGAGACAGAGATAAACTCCAACAGGCTCACTGCAGCCTTTCTGTGAAGGGTGGCGGGAACAGGGCTACTACTACCCAAGACACTCAGGGCCCTATGATTTGGACACTTGGATCTCCTGAAAAATGGTTAACTGAGGGGGCAGCTGGGAGAGACCGCCAACTATCAAGTTTAGCTGACCTGGACTCCAACTAGACTCCATCACTCCCCAGAGACCTGCGCTGCTCATTTCTGCTTCTGCCAACTAGGGACTATAGCAGAATTAGGACCACCAGTCCCTGTACACTCTGGGGACTGTCCTGGATCTGAGTACTGCAGAGGGGAGGCCACCTGAATTGCATTCCTCCACATTTGCTGAAGTTGAATTTCCCCCTCCTCGAGCTGACCTTTGACTCGGCATCGAGCCTGAATTTGCTGCCAAAGGGCTGGTGCGGTGGGGGGTGGATCACTGGCCTGGGACGTGATCCTGTGGTAATCTCACCAGCTCAGTGCCAGGGACTGTTACCAACTCCTTAATTATGATGATGATTAGAGGCCTCTGGGCCCCACCCCAAGCCAGACTGAGCACCTGTCCTGTAGCAACTGCTCCCATTTCCTGCGAAGGCGAGCTGGGCCAGTTCTGCTTCTCTCTGGGCAAGGGGCACCGGGGCTCAGTCCCCACGAGGGGACATCACTGCACTCGACAGTAACTGCCCACCCCTCCTTTCCCGCATCAGGCACCAGGGCACTCTGTGCCTCCTCCCCACCATGGCCTGGCAGGGCTGTGGAATGAGCGGTATGCAGTGCAGTGATGCATGTGGACCCACGCGCAGCCTGGCACCAGGGGGCGTGGGGCGAGCCTGGCTGGGTGGAGCCTGGTTTCTCTGTCCATGGGCTACAACTGGGGCACCCTCACCCCCGACCTACCCAAGACCCCTGCCTGCTCCATGCCAAGCCTGCTCCTTTCCCACCACCTCTGGTTCCCTAGTCCCCTACAGGATGGGGCAGGAGGAAGGGGAGGGCACAGGAAGACAAAGGGAGGGAAGGGTGGGGGCCTGGAGGAAGCCCAGTGCAGGCTCTGCCATGGAAAACTCCATGGGCTGAGAGGCAGCTGAGTGGGTCAGAGGAGATTGGAGCCGTAAATCCCAGGTGGCCGCTCAGCCTGGCTGCCTCCCCTCCTCTGGTCACTGCTCTCTCCCAGGACTTTGGGACCACCAAAAGGCCACATCTCTGTGCTGTCCACCCCTGCTCAAGGATGTGGCTTTGGGAAAGGGAAGGAAGGAAGGGTGTGGGCTGGCCCCACACCACTGAAGGGCAGGAACAAAGGGGCACAGGGCAGGAAGGACCACAGGTGACCCCCGGAGTGAACAGCAACCCCCCCCCCCAACTCAGACACACAGTTCCCAAGTTTGGCTCAATTTTATTTACACTCATCCCAAACCACATGACTTGGGGGCTAAACAAATAGGTCTCAGGGAAGCCGAGGACAATGACAAGGGTGCAGGGGAGAACAGGAAAAGGCCCACAAGGATAGATGGCTCCTCTTTGAAAAGTGCCCATGCAGGGCACTGGGTGGAACAGCAGGTGCAGTCTCCTTCAGGATTTGGACTTGGACACAGCAAGTCCGATGAGTCCAGCCAGCCCCGCCACGCCCAGGGCCATGCCACCAACGATGGCCATGCCCACCAGGCCATCTGGGGAAAGGAAAAGGGAGGGTGTCAGGTACTCAGCCCAGCCCCCACCTGGACCCTGACCATGGCCTCCCTGGCCCCGCAGCTCCACAGGAGAGGTGCACCTCTACCTCGAGTCTCCAGGTTGAGACTGCAAAGGTTGGGGACAGATAGCTTCAGGAAGGTGGGTTTGAAGTGACTTCTTGGGGGTGGGGAGTTCCTTTAAAGACACTCCAAGGGCCCAGGCATGAGGGAAGAAAGAAGACTTAATAAGGGACGAGGATTTCACCTTTCTTCATAGCCTTGTCAATGAGCCGTTCCAGCTCCTTGGCCTGGTTGTTCTGGGGCTCCGTCTGCAGCAGCCCGCGCACGTACTTTAGGGCCTTTTCATATTCCTACACTCAAGGGAAACAGCCCCCACATAAGCACCATGGGACTGTAGCACCCCCCCTGCCCAACTGGGGCACCTTCCCTTCTCCAGCCCAGCCTCCTCCCTCCCCTCCTCTAGCCCCGCCCAATGGAGTAGAGTCCACAAACAACCCCAACTGTATGGGATGATAAGCTAGGGGAGATAACAGCCCAAGGCTTGGGGGTGCACTCCCATCTTGACGTCAACTTGGTCCCCACACCCTCAGCACCCTGATCCTCTTTCTTGCCTTCTTTCAGAGTCCTGTCCTGAAACTACCTTGCACCCGTTGCACCCGCTACCACTCCTGCCTGCCCGTCTGCCCTGGGGAGGAGGTGGCAGTCCACCCAAGTAGGGCAGAGTGGGAAGAAGGGAGCCTTTTGGTCTTACCTTGAGCCGGTAGTTGCCCACGGCCAGGTAGAAGACATAATCGCGCTGCTCCTCTTTGCTCCCTTTGGGCAGCAGCTCTGGGGAGAGGGAAGGAAGTGGGTGAACACTGCTTCTCTCTTTTTCTAATACTATATTCCAGAGACTCTGCCACACTCAGAATCCCTCCACAGCCCCAGGAAGAATCAGCCTCATCACCTTCACATCAGTTCCAGGCCTTCTCAACTTCCCATTCAGAACTCCAGGGCAGCAGGAGCAGAGGCTGCCACCTCCAGGGACAGACATTGCAGAATCAATACTACATTCACTTCTGGTACATCCATGCAAATGTGAAATCAAGGCATTGGAGAAGACCAAAGGCAGAACCACTTATTGTTAACTATAAGACTGTACTCCCTCCTCTTTACCTCGTTGTCCCTGACTGACCCTACCTGACTCCTTAATTCAGTGCCTTCCCAGAGGCTTAGGTGCTTGAGTGTCCTCAGTGCCTCAGCGTTTGTTGCTCAGTAGTTTGTAGCTGCCAAAACCTTCCCCAGTACCTGTTCTGCCTCCCTAACTGCATGGTAATGCTGAAGCCACTTCTATTATTGTGCCCTGCTGTAGAGCAGACCTGAAAAATCTGAACTGGCAGAACAGATAAATGCATGGTCACAGTATTTTTATGTCTGACTGTCTTTGTATCCTTGGGGGATTGGTTGCAGCACCCCTCCTTGGATTCCAAAATCCATGGCTACTCCAGTCCCTTGTATAAAATATTGTAATGTAACACTTGCATGTAACCTATGCATGTTCCCCTAGATTATTTAAATCATCCCTAGATTTTTTTTTTTTTTTTTTTTAGTTTTTCTCCGGTACCGGGAACCGAACTCACGACGTTGCGCTTGCCAGGCAGGCGCTTTGCCGCTGAGCTAAATCCCCAGCCCCATCCCTAGATTATTTATGATACCGAATACAACGTTAATGCTAAGAGTTGTACTGTTTAGGGGATAACAACGAGAAGATAAAGTGTACATGTTCAGCGGGGAAATGTTTTTTGTTTCCTCCAAATAGTTCAGATCTGAATGAACTCACAGATGTAGAACCTGCAGATACAAAGGGCTGCACAAAGGGCTGCCTGTGCAGCCCTTTGCTGCAGTGAATTTACTGGTAGGGGATCGTACTGTGAGGGGAGGGTCCCATTTAGAAAACAACCTGAGCACTTGAGCTGGAGGGGACGAATGCGGCCAATGGTAGTAGAGAAGGACAGAAAGGGAAGTGGGGTGGCCCGGAGCCTCACCTTCGAGCAGCGCGATGCCCTTATGGATGTCATCATTGTACTTGCTCCGCACCAGGCACCAGGCGTACTCAAACTGCGTGCTCTTGGACACTGAGCCTGCTGCCTGCTCAGACTGGAATTTCTTCTCAAACTTCTGCCATACGAGAGGAGAGGAACCACTTAGAAAGAAAGGGTGTCAACCAGTCTCTATCTAGACCAGGTGTCCATGTCCCATTACACTCCAGATCTTCCTGGCTCTGCCCTGCTTCCCTCCTGGGTCTTGGTACACGGCATCCCGGAACGTGCTATATCCGTCCCTAGGACCCAGGCATTCTGCTTTCCCGGCTGGCGGGCCAGTTTGGGGGCAGCGCCCGCGCCCCCCCTCCCCCGCCCCCACACCGAGCGGAGATGCCACCTGGTGGTAGCTCCAGGCGCCACTCCCAGAGCAGCTGACCCGAGAGGCTGAACAGTAAACACACTGTCCGATCTGCCCAACAAGCCCACGCTGTCCTCCTCTGGGGCTGCTGGTTCCACCCCACCCCGCCCTACCGGGTCTGGACTTTATTTTATCTGCAAAATGGGAATAAAAATAATGCCCACCTTCCAGAGTTACAAAGATTGAGATCCACCATACAATGAAGGAAGCACCAAGCGAGCCTCCATAGTATGTGAAATTTTATGATGGTCGCTCGATCCCCCACCACTGAAGAAGCTTCCCGAGCTCTCAACTCCCAGAACCTGTCAGCCTTTCGGAAACCTTTGAACTCCAGCAGGCCTTAGGTCTGAGGTGCGGAGTCTCAAGGAACTACAACTCCCATTAGCCCCAGGACAAGGCACACGCTTCGGACAAGAGCCGGGCGCCGCAAAGACTGCCGGGAGCCGTAGTTAGGCTCCCTTCAGCAAAGTCGAAACTGAAGAGGGTTTGGCCGTGCCCAGCTCTCCTCAGGACCCGCCCTCTGACTCTTCTCTTTGCCTCCCGCGGGGCCAGGCCTCACCATCAGATCATCCACAGACACCAGGTCGTTCAGCACGGCCTCCATGGCCACCGCCCCCACAATCCTTACACCACAGGCTCTACTGTGCCACCGTCTCCATGGTCCGGCGGCAGGGGCGAAAAGACACTTCCGGCGTCAGGCGGATGCGGCCCCCAAACTAGGGAGGCCCCGCCCCTTTCTCGACAATACGGTAAGCCTCAGGAGGCGCTAGTGCGCATGCTCAGACCGTCTGCCAGCCCATAGGTTGCACAGGATTGAACAGACACTTTCTCCGAGTTGGACAGCCTCGGTGCCCTAACTTGTGTGCCTTCCTCCATCGAGGCTGCCCCACGAATGTTCCAGGCTGTATTAGTGGCTAACCCCCGGCCGGAAAACCAGAAAAAGGTGGGTAGTTTTACGGTCCAGTGTAACACCCTTCCTCCTCAAATCTAGGACTCAAGAAGCCAAGTGACTTCATTCTACAACAAAATCCTAACTCCTATCAGAGTTCTAGGGCCTCTGCGGACTCTTATAATTCAAGAGGATCTGTTGACCCTACATCCAGAGATGGATACATAGTCACGGCGATGTCATTAACGGAATTTAAAGAAAATCTGTCCCATGGCTTGTAGGGGGCCCTGTTGTGTTAGTCTGTTTTGGTTGGTCTGTTTTGGTCTGTGTTGGTCTGTTTTGGTTTTTTGAAACAAGTTGGCCTTGAACTCACTATGTAGGCCCAGGCTGGCCTCGAACCAATGGCGGTCCTCCTGGCTCAGCCTCCGGAGTGCTAGGATTACAGGCATGCCTCACCATGCATGGTCTGAAGTATTATTTTTTCTAAACCATCTTCTGGGTGTACCTGAGGGAGAAAGCCTGCCATATGGGGTCACAAGCAGTGAGGATGAGGGAGGGCTTCAGTGTTGGATGCAGTGATGGGTAGTAAATTTCACTTTCTTGTCACCCTGACCTAAGCCTCCATACACAGTGGCATGTTTGTTCCATGAGGGTAAGACTATCTTGTCTATCCAGCACCTAAAACCGGCCCACGGTGAACACTTGAATAAATATTTGTTGAAAAAACATGAAATAAAGCAAATAGTTAACTATGAGGACAGCGCAAATGCTCAGAATAATGCTCAAAACACCTTTCATGCTTGCAAAGCCAAATATATCACATATCAGGGAATATTTTTCCCTAACTGACTAGGACAGTTGAAATAAGTTTGATATGAGCTCAGTAACTTTGGCAGAAACCTTGGGTTGGGGAATCAGCTCCCTGACGACTCCAAGTATAATACTCAAGCAGAAATACTCATTCAAAGATGTATAGAGCACCTAATTTTGAGTGGACCTTGGGGTAAGCAGAGAAGATAACAAGATATACACAACAGGAAGCCGACCAGGGAAAACAAGACCAGACAGGGAGCAACCATCACAAGTCACAGGGCACAGGAAGGCCAAAGGGACACCACTGCCATTAGAAAGCTCTTTCTGTGGGTCATTGGTACCTTATGCAGCTTTGTGTCTGCTGCAGATCTGATGAGTGGCAAAAGCTCCACCAGGATTTGTTGGCTATATACAGAGGAGGAGAAAGGAGGCCATACTTGGCTGGCTCAGTTTTGTGCCAATGAAGAGATCTGAGCTTGTGTCTCTTTTATCTACTTAGCATACCCAGCTATCTTTTATAGGGAACTGCAAGTGGTCTCAGCTAATTTTCCCTCCAAATTCTGTCTCTGTATCTTTGTCATCTCTGCTGGATGACTTGAACAGCTGCCTTGCTGGGCCCTTGCTGTTTGCCTCCTTATGATCAATTCACCACTAGTCAGAGGGATCTTTTTTTTTTTTTTTGGTCTTTTTGAGACAGGGTCTTGCTATGCAGTTCAGGCTGGCCTTGAGATCACTTTGTAGCCCAGGCTGGTCTTGAACTCGCAATGATCCTCCTGCCTCAGCCTCCTGAGTGCTGGGATTAACAGGCATGCGCCACCACGCTCAGCCATCAGAGGGATCTTATAAAAACACAATTCTCAATTTGCCTGAAACCCTTTAATGGTTTCTTATTGCCCTTAGAAGAAGGCAAAAATCTTGTAATCCAAGCTGCAGGGTCATCTATGATATGGTCCATAATTCTCTGCCTCTATCTCTCTGTACCCCAGCCCCACAGGCCCTTCAATTTTAGAAGCTCTCATGGCCCCAGGCCCTTGGCATGTGCAGTCTCTATTATCTGCAACATATATCCTCTACTCCTTTGCTCATTCATGATGCAATTCACTCAACAAATACTGAGCATCTACTATGCCCCAGGCATTGTTTAAATGCTAGAGATCAGCACTGATAAAATATAATTCCTGGTGTCATGCAATTTACATTTTTGTGGACAAAAAAGTGATTAAACAGCAAATAAAAACACTGTAACAAGTGAGAAATACATATTTGCTCCTGGCCCAGAGCTCCCCAAATCCTTGCATTTTCCTGAGTAATGGGGCCAATAGGATCATCTTTTACAGAGCTCCTAAATCCTCGGAGACTTCCTGAGTGACGAGCAGTTTTTGTTCTAATGAGGAGATTCTTGATGGGTTTCTGGGAAGCTTCAGGATGGGGGCTGGGCACAAAAAGACCAAGTCATGATCAAAAGGTTGGGACCTTCAGCCCCATTCACCTCTATCCTCTAGGAAGGAAGGGGGCTGGAGATTAAATTCATAGTTAAACGTGCCTACATGACGAAACCTCCATAAAATCCCTCTGGGGTTCAGAAAGTTTCTGAGCTGGTGATCACACAGAGAGGCTGGGAGAATGGTGTGCCCGAGGGGTACAGACATTTCAAGCATCACCCTGTACCCCTATACCTTGCTCTTACATCTCTCCCATTTGCCTGCCCCTGAGTTGTGTCCTGCATAACAGATCATAAATAATAAAGTACTTCCCTGTTAGGCCTTGCGGCTAAATGTCCCCCACAAAGCCTCATACAGTCATAGGTGGGGCTTTTTCAGAGGTGGCTGGATCTATAGTGTGTGATGTTGGGATTAAGGGTGTGTGATTACTAAATTAGCCAATGATTGGTTTGGCATAGTTCTGAGTGTGGATAATGAAAAAGCCCTTACTGGATGTGAGTGTCACCCACCCTAAGGGCATGCAGCCTGGACATACTATAAGAGACAGAATGAGGGCTGCTCTTGTCGCTTGTCAATTGTTATTATTGCTGCTGCTGGTTGTCTTCTGCGATGCCCCTCTTCCATGCCACCCTGTCGTAGAGCCAGCCAATTATGTACTGAAACCTCCACAAACTGTGAGCCAAAATAAACCTTTCCTTCTTTAACTCTGGGTGTTAGATATTTTGTCTCAGGAACCAGAAATGTAAGACACTCCCTGACTTTGGTGAGCTGTTACAGCAAATTATCAACCCTGAGGAGAGGCGTCATGGGAACCCTCAACTTAAAACTAGTCAGTGCAAAGTAAAGGCGGGAGCCTGGGATTTGCAGCTGGTTTCTGAAGAGGGGGCTGACTTGTGGGGCTGAAATGGGGATCAGATGATAACGCTAGGTAGATGAATGTCATGGCTTATATTTAGATGTCTCATGTGCTCATAGGTGGGGCTTTCCGGAGATGGCTGGATCATAGGTATGTGATACTGGGATTACAGGTGCATGGTACTGGACTAATTGATTCAACACAGTTCTGTGTTGGGTAATGGGAAGGCTCACCCTGGGTGTGGGTGGTACCATCCCAAAGGCTTGTAGCCTGGATGGGAGAAGAGGGGCAAAAAGAAGGTTTGCTGCTGCTTGCTGCTTCCTGTCTGCTCTGCCATGGACTGGATGTTCCCTTCAATGCCCCTCTGCCATGCCACCCTATCTTGGAGCGAGCTGACTATATAGACTGAAACCTCTACAAACAGTGAGCTGAAATAAACCTTTCCTCCTTTAACTTGTGAGTATCAGGCATTTTGTTTGAGCAGTGAGAAAAGTAACTAAGACAAGGATGTAAGGACTGAATCGTAGCATACCCAGATGGTGTCTGCAGAAAACTGGGGAACTGTTTGGTATCAGAAAACTCCAAACATTTGGTGTCAGAAGTGTTTCAAAACCAGAAAAAAACCTTTTTTTATGTAGACCCAGTGCTGCCAAGAATTGAAGCGCTATGAAAAGAAAGCAGGTAAAGGGTTTGAGGAAAAGGAAGCAGCTGCCACCACATGGGCCCTCCATACGTGGTTCTCAGCATGGCTGTGAGCTTCTTAAAGGTTGGTGAGAGTACCTCTCTCTCCTGTCCGATGGATGGAGTCTTATGTAGTGTAAGCACAGGAGTGACAGCCCATT